GGAATCACACTACTACTTTAGAAATCTTGGGCTTGAGGAGGAATGAGGGCAAAGGGAGTCTCAAATTCAGGCAGATGCTCAGAGAGACTGCCCCCATACTTCAGTGCTTCTTCATCTCCAAACTGATGACCTTGGGAAGGGCCTGTCAAGGATGGGTTTCGGGGCATACCCAGTGCCTTTCAAATCATTGGGGCCTTATACTTGCATAGAAGCATCTGGGGCAGTACCCACTTCCCTCGGATACATCCAGAAAGCAGGAGACATGGGCTTAGAAGTACTCAAGGAGGCCCTAAAGTGGTTCTTCCCCCTGGACCTGGTACTGTGACCCAGATTCCACCAAAATAGCCTGATGCCTTCTCTACACACCCTGTCCATCTGGGGCTATCCATTTGAACAATTTTTGATAACTTTTTCATTATGCTCCTTCAGCCCGGTTTATCTTTCTTTCTTCCCTGGGTAGCCTGCGTTTGTTTTGTCTACATATGTCAGGCCCTGTTTCTATGCCTATCTTTTATTTCCCTCTTGTCATTCCTGTATTCTGCCATCTTAACTCCTTGGCTGTATTTGGATCTGATTCGTTCTCATTCAATCTCAATCTCTCTTCCTCTCTCTCTGTCCCTGCACCAACTCCCCCACCATGATGTCTCTTCTTTTCTGTCTCTTTGCCACCCTCTCTCCCTGTATCCTTCTCATATTTTACTATTGCTTATCTATCTGCCACTGTCCTTACTTCTTTACATCTCTGTTTTCTATATACTGAGGGTAGAACTCATGAGTGCAGGATCTGAATGTCTTCTTACCACCCACTGCTCCAAACTCTCACTGAAAACAAAGTGAGGGAGTTGGCCATTGCACCGTGTCACTGAAGTCACAGATAGAACTCAAGACTAAAGACTTGTTACTGAGGAATTCCTTCCTCTCAAATGATAAGAAAACTGGACATTGAGGTTTTCCCTGGGGGAGGCCTGTAAAAGTCAATGTGAAGCTGCCAATCTCTATAGAAAATTGGAACCTAACTCAATATATAAACAAACTACAGCTGTTTTCAGAATGTACACTTGGAACAGGTAACCAAGCGTCAGCAAATCTTAGCGGTCATGTTTCTGGAAAACATAGGCTGCAAACTGCTAAGAGAAGTCCACACAACACAAAATCAGATAAGATTTTAAGAACAAATGTAACCTTACCATGAAGTTCCAAATCTAAAAAACATTGTATTCAATGTTGGAGGAAAGGGAACTAAAGCGATTGTCTGGTTTGTTTGATTTTACATGGTTCAGATATTAAGTCTACAGCTGACCAGTGTGAAACTGGTAAGTTTGGCAAGAATGAGGGATATCACAGTATAACTCCTCTGCAGCAAAGTCGTATCACTTTTTATTATATTTTAATCAGATAATATATTTAATTTATACTCTTCCAATAACAGAACTTTTGAAACTGAATTAAAAATTTGTTTTAAAGACAGGGTCTCATGATGTAGTTTAGGCTAGGTTGAACTCACTTTATATCTCAGGTTGTCCTCGAACACACAGTGATGCTCATACCTCCTGAGTGCTGGGATTACAGGCACGTGCCACCATGCCCACTGAATAAATATTTTTAAAATGTACAAGAAGCTAAGTTACAAGAAATGGAAAATTAAGAGCTATTTTTTCACTGCCTATATCCTAAGGTATATATTTATAGCAGTACAGATATCCTCATGCTTTATCAGTGTTTTACGGACAGATGCTAAAATAAAAATTTCTGCATCTAACAATATTGGCCGACATAGCTGGAGGAAAGTGAGGTTCATGCAAGAACAGACTGAGAGACCGGTTGTGGTGGTGCAATCCCAACACTTGGGAGGCTGAGGCCGGAGGATTGCCACAGATTTGAGATCAGCTTGACTACATAGTGAATTCAAGGTCAGCCTGAACTACATAGTGAGGCACTGTCTCAAAAAAAACAAAAAAGGAGAGTAAGATAGAGACTGAGAAATAAACTAGTTTTCAGCTGTGTTGTGCTTTGAGTGTTGCTTTATAGCCTAGTCCTGAATTTTAATTTACCTTGATAGATTTCCATTTAAATAACGTTGGAAAGGTGGTGGCCCAGATGGTGGTAGCAAATAAATATGAAGTGTGTTTCCTCAGTTCAGAAAAAAAAAAAAAAAAACAAGCCAGAGTACAGCACAGGAACATGGACAGATGAATCCTCAAGACCTTCCGGAACTCCTCAATGCTCTAGGGGTAACCCAAGTTCCTCTCTTGGCCCTGTAGGCCGTCCCCAACCAAGGTCTTCACCCGGTCTCCTTTCCTAAGCTACACACCAGAGCTTTTTTGTTTATCGAATGCATCATGACGATTCCACATTCAGTCTCTTTGTCTTTGCGGTTCTCTCTCCCTGAGCTGCTCTTCCCAGTTTCTGATCACTACTCACACATGAGGCTTCAACGTAGAAGCCTGTTTCTGAGATAAGTGCTTTTTCATCAAACCAAAACATTAGTCAATATTTCCTATTTTGTTGCCCCAAAGCCACCTTTAGAGCACCTATCATGACCAAGAATAGTAATTTCCCCCTAAAAGAATATACTTTGTCCCACGCAATCCTAAGTATAAGATGAGCATTAACTTGTTAATTGCATCATCTTTTGGCAACTGTTTGATGAATGTCCATCTCCCTTGCCATACTTTACATTACCTGGGTCAGACACTATGTGATGTGCTTAATGCATTATCATTAGCATCCAATGGAGTACTGGCTTCAGACTAGGGCTAATACATGAGGTTTGCTTGCTACTATTTTCATTGTTGTTGTTGTTCTTGCTGTTGTTGCTGTTGTTAGTACATGTGTGCAGTATATGCAGTTTGCCATCATCTTATGGAGTGCCAAGATGTGCCTTTAGGAGATAATATCTCTGCTCAAGTTTCCTCAATGGCTGCAGTGAAGGTGAACTAGGATATTTGCGTTAAAGCAAGGGGAACCTAACTAAAGTGCTCAGTAAACAAGTGCATGCCACCCTTTGTCTGAAGGAGAGAATGGGAACCACCCTCCAGTATCTGGGACAGGGGTACTGGACCAACTTACCCATGGAGAAGGGAATAAAAGCTTCACTCTTCCTTAGTGCACCCTTAGCATCCAGAAAGTGATCAGGGTTGAAGGTGTCTGGTTTTTCAAAATGACGTGGGTCATGGAGAGCAGTGGACAGCATTGGGTATACTTCCGTGCCCTAGGAAAATTGCAAAATCAGAAGATATTGCTATTCCCTGGCATCCACATGCAAAGACATAAGTAAATAGATACAACAAAACAAAACTGAAGGAAGGTTTCCCTGTTGAGAAGCCAACAAGCAGTTGAGATGTGGGTTAAGAATCCAAAGAGGTGCAAGAAAGATGTGGGACACCAGCTTGTCTCACCTTGGGGAGGACGAACCCTCGGAAGGACGTGTCTTTGGTGACCACGTGGGGCACACCAAGGGGGAGGAGGTCCGCAAATCTCTGCATCTCACAGATGACTGCCTCAGTGTATGGCATTTTGCTTCGGTCATCCAAGGCTGGCAGGCGGTGTGAGCCAATCACCTGTTCAATTTCCTTTTGGACTCTCTCTGCACAGAAAAGGGGACAATGAACCCCACATCACAAAGACATTTCAGCAATGACATTTTTTTTTGTTTGGACCGGTGAGCTGGAAATACTGTACAGAAAACGTTTATCCCATTCACACCTTCAAAGCAATCAGCTGTGGGTGAGAGCAAGAGGGAGAAAATAACAAGAATTCGCACCCTTTAAAAATCTGTGAATGCTATAAATTATCTCCCCACATCCACAACTATACACACACACCACATCGTTGCATGAATTTTATATGAAGAACTGAAAACTGCTCCTCTACAATCATAAGAAATGAACCAAGTTTGTCAGTAGTTCCTAAAACATATAATAGCAGAAGAAATTAATTCATGAATAACTGAATGATAACTGAATGAATGAATGAATGGTTAATCAATAAATAAAATGAATGAATGAATGAGATGAAAAAATCAGTGAATAGGTATGTGTATTTGATTTATCACTAGTATATGGTTGAATTAATCTGTTGATAAATGGCTCATCAAAAAATAAGACAGTACCCTCGGAGCCGGCCAAGCAGGCTCCCCCAGCCCCCCGCGCCTTGCGCCCAGGCAGCGAGTTCTCCAGGAGCTGCAGTGCTCCTGGGTCCGAGTGTGGGCCGGACTCATACCACCGCGATTCCCAGCCGAAAAGCGCGCAAAGAGCCAGGTAGGCCGCACCCACTCCCGGAGGCCAGGACGC